GCACCGTGGATTCCATCCCGATCGCAACACTGTTGGTCATAACGAAGAATACTGGGAATATGAAATACGAAAATAAGCTTTATGTCTGCCTCACAGAGCTGAAGAAGGCTTTCGATAGAGTGCCATGTCAAAGCTGAAGAGACCCGCAGAAATATTGAGAAAATTAGCAACTACTGTAGCAGTAGGTCCTTATGCGATTGATGCGAGGCATGTCTGTGTTAATGGCAAAATCGCGATGTCTTCTAAGGTCTTCTTTGGTTTCCGCTAAACGAATGAATTGTCCGAATCACAATTTTTATTGTTCTGATGGACAGATGTTGCCTCAGAATGGAGAACGTCATAGCTAGAGAGATTCATCCGAATAATGTGCTATTTATAGATAACTTTCCGTGTCCTCTTGTCCTGATAATAGCGCTTAACGTATCTTTGCACCGCTATATACGCTGAAGCAGGCATGAAAATCAGTCTGACCAAAAAACATACTTTGTGTTCTTGAGAAGTACGCTAGTGAACTGCTCAGTGAGCTTTGAAGGTAAGTAGAGACGCTTAAGTATCACGAGGTAGCATTAACGAGTGATGAAAGTTAGGACATAGAGCTATATAGAAAAATTGACCAGGCGAGCGTAGCAATAAATGCCTTGGCTAAACTGGCACGGAACGATGAAGAAAGGTAGTGGTAAAATGGTACCGGCGGTGCCAGTACGCCGCTTTAATCCGGTATCAAAAGAGAAAGGGTTAAAATGGTATCTGTGTTTAGTTTTTACCTTCATCTATTGCCATTGGAGTTCGATACAGACAGAACGAGTACGCTCCAGGATAAAAACGACAATCTGAGGTAGTCTCGCTGATGAGGTGCCTATGAGGTGCCTTTATGGTTCCTCCAGTGAAGACCACGTCGTGCTTTGGATCACGCCCATTTGTGTCCATTTGGTCGCTTGTATTCGCAGTACCTACACAAAACACCGCCCGCACTTTGTCTGTATACCTAATCGCTCGGTTCACAGGACAAAATTGGTTATCGCAGCATGGCGGATTCGAATTTCCGCTTTAATGCTCTTGAGGAAGAAATACAATATCACTGCAGAAAAGCCAGTAGGAATCTAAACTTCGTTTTTATCATATAGCCGTAGATATTGGTTTCGTAAATAAACAATCGTGTTCCAAGGTGTCACAACGACGATCAGCTGGCCGCGCCATAAGCTAGCTGTTAGATGAGCGCAACAAACAGTCTTCACAGTCATAGAAATGCGAAGTAGGGAGATACTTGAACAGTTGTACATTATATTTTCGCTTTATTCACACGAATCTGAACTGATTGTCGATTTGTCGGAGAATCATTTGTTGACCAAACTGCCAAGTTTCTACAGTGGGTGTCACAAGAGCACTAATTCATACCGTCAGGGATACGCCGATCGAAAGTTCGACGCCAGTCTTTCCAGCACTGTAAGGTTGATACGCATAAGAAGTTGCAACAATCTGCTGATTCACTTGTCGAAAAGAATTCAATAGCACTGGTTAAAGGGCTAGGTTCCTGCTATGGATGGCGCCATCGGTCTCAGACGCGGAAGAGAATTCTGAAGGGGTCAAAAAATAAATACTCAACTGGACTGTACTTGAAACGACTGGATTAATGCAGTAGGCCTTAACCAGCCAAGCAGTAAGCCTCTGTAATTACTTTTTTGTTACTTATTATAAAGCGTAATAACCAATTTAAAGGCATTTCCCACTTGCAGATTAAGCAGATAAGCTTTACTTTAAGATTGTCTTGCACTCGATTTTGAAAGGCACTTTGTACTTTAAGTTGATATCAAGCAGACAATTTACATGTTCGCATACCTTGTGGCTGCTCGTTTTGTCTGGCTGTTTAAAAATGGAGAAAAAGTATTTAGTTCGATGTGTGAAATGAGAAGTCTTCACTTCAAGCCACGGAAATCTAGAACGCCTGAGAATCATCGCCAGCACCCACATAACTGGACAAAAGCGAAACGCCGGACGATCGTTGAAATGGCGAGCGACATAGCGGCCCGCGTGTTCTTCACTACGTTTACTATTCACGCTTCTTCAGCCAAACGCTCAGAACTGGAAACTCAGCTTCGGCCGGCACAAACGTTTTTCGTTTTGATGCTTTCGGCACGTCTGAGGTTTTTCACGCCTTACTTTCCTAAAGCCTTACAAGTTATGAGACGGCATTGGCAAATACCGTGTAAAGAACGTGCGGCGGCGGTGGAAATCAGCGACGCTGAAAAACAAGCGCAGTATCGTCGTTAGCTGTCATCCTCCGCCTCACTTTACTGTAGGCTTCTCTTCAGCCCGTCTAAGCCAGTAGACGGTTTTGCTTTTTGCGACACGGCAAAAATTCGAATTGCAAAGTAGCAAGCATAAAATCTTACGACCTCAGCCACGGTTACAGAACAGGGGTGCATCGACAATTAAAACCGATCTTCACTGTAATATGAAAGTGCAAGAAAACGCTTAGATTAAAGCAGACTCGACAAGAGGAATCTATCCTTCCTTTAAGCGAAAGGACTATTTCAGGCTCCGTGCTTTACAAAATATTTCAACCTCAGTCTAGAAAAGCTTAATAGATTAATACTAACACAATAAATTATAATTTTTGTACAGCCACAGATGTATAAACATCATAAGTTGCTCTTAGCCCGAGCATGTCACGCAACGAATGACTCATCCAAAATCAGATTTTACGGCGTACTACACCACCCACTGATCTTAGATGCCTGAGGAGGGGGCAGCTAAGCAGGCCACGCTCTGTGGTATTTGAGCATCTGCATGGTAAATGCATCGCACACTATTTTGTCCACTAGAGCCACCTCGTGATCATCACGAACGATGTTTCAGGAACTGGTACTACCCATATGCTACAGCACAAACATATGAGGATATGCAATGGCATAACCATCGAGCAGAGTAAATTGTTGGAACAGCTCAGACACTGTCGCCGGTTCTGCACTGACGAAATAATTCCGAAGGAGAAAAAACTTTGCTCAGAAATCATCTTCAACGAGCCGTCGATAAGTCGCGTCACAATTGCCAA